GTGGGACCTTCTGTCAGTGGTTACAGAAAGGCGAGGGAAATATTTGCTTAAGCGGGTGGATTATTATGCCGCTGACATTATTACAGTGTTTATGCATAAAGTAACATAAAAATCTGCTATAGACACAAGCACACAGGCATTAATTACTAAATAAAGACGCAGAAATTTCCCTCAATTTTCTCCAAGATCCCCATGACTCAGTTCTTACTGGAGCCATCAAAGAATGTGAAAGGAAGGAATGTTTTGGGTTTTTTTTACAGAAAAGAAATGTTTTAATGCAGCTGATTCATAAGAAGTGCGAAGCTATTTCAGCTTCAGAAGCAGGGCATACCAAAAAGTAGTTTGAGAAGCACTGCCTTAAGTCTGATCTCACCTGAAAATGTAATCATTTACATAGACATGTGAGCAGCACTGTGCACCTGCAGGTTGTAACTTTGACCACCTTTACATGCGCTGGAGCTAAAAAGAAAAACAAAGTTATATAACAAGTCGGGGATTCACCATTTAGTCTGTGATTCTGTTTCAAAGTTAGAAAACTTCGTATAACTATTTTTATACAGCGCTGACTACTGATGCTAAAGTGAAATTAGCATCAGTAGCGCTTCAAAAGCGCTTCAAACTAACTACCGAAAGGACGGTGGCCTTGAGAGGTCAAACGGAGTAAAACTGCAGCAAATACAAAAAAATACAAAAGCAAAAGACACCCCTCGCCCATACAGCCCACACACGTTATTAGGGAGACAATAACGTGATGTTTTAACTACCGCGTGGTCGTGTCCCAGTGTTTTATTCACGGTGCCAGCTGACAGAAACATTTGCGGAGGGAGGCCGGGCGGTCAGGTTGTGCCGTAGGTTGTGACTTGTGCGGTAAATCTACGTCGTAACTGAAGATATAACGATTACCTGATGTGCACCTTCCAAGAAACGTAACTTCATTCAACGCAGCAGTTACGACGTAGATTTACTGCTGAAGTATAAATCCTCAGTAAGTGTTCAACATAGCTGCCCAGTAGTGAGACTATGGAAGCAAGTCTCACCTTCCACAGTGAGACTTGCTTATGGAAGGAGTTTAATCAAACTAAAAGCTGTTAGTTTACACCTTTGTACCATTCGCCCTCTTGAGATTAAAGCACTGAATTAAAACCACAAGCAAAAGTAAACCATGGCTCCCACACCAAACTGCCACTTCAGCACAGTTTAGAATATATAGCAGTTGCCAGCGGCTGTTTTCTTTTAGGAAAGTAAAAAGAAAAAGAAGAGCCCATCTCTTTATTACAAGTCAGTGTACCATCAAAATGATTCTGATGCTGTTATTTGAATGTAAAATAGTTACAGGCCACACAGGACTTCAGATCACCGACAGAATGGATCCCTTGTCTGTCTTGGCGGCCCTCCTGTTGCCTTAAAAAGGACTTGGATATCATCTGCCTTCATGTTACCTCAAGTTATGACCAAATAAACAACTCCAACTTCTGACTGGGCGCTTCTGGAAAGTGTGACAGCTCCCTGATCCTGAGCCACACCGTCAGCTGGGTGGAGCTTCATACCCTGTTGTGACACATGCACACATTGTTTCATTGTGAAACCAGAGTAGGGTCACAAAAAGTTGACAATCGCAGGTAATCGGTACAAAAAGGGGACTTTCGAGGGTTGATTTACACCCGTGTGACTCCGAGGCCCGGAGCTGGGTGGAGGATAGGGTGGTGGAGGGGAAGAGGATCCCTGCTAGAGTGAGAAATGTTTACTTTCACTTTAGTTATAAGTAGCAATTATAGCTCGTTAAATAAAGGAAACATTTTTTCCTTTAATCTTCTACTTTTACAGCTAAATCAACCTGCAGGGAAAATCTGGCCACATGGACGGTTAAGGTCTGATCAGAGTCTAATTAGAGCTTTGTGACATAAAAAATGATCAGAGCCTCTGCTTTCTGCTTTCTGTTTGGCAAGCTTCCACCCATCTGGCACCCATATATTCTACGACAAAAGTCTAAAAAGTTATACGCCATTACTGCTTGACCCCAGGTCTGGGCTTAGCATGCCAAAACAATACCAGGACGAGCGTACGGCTTCCCAGAGCGGCAGCGCGGAACACAAATAGCAACTTCTAGAAGCCACCGAGCCGCCTGTGTAGGGGAGAAGGGAAGCTGAAGGAGGAGGAAAAACAGCAGGACGAAGAAGAGGTGGAAATGGGTAGTGGCCAGGAAGCTGGACTCTTCCTGCCCTAATCACAAGTCAGAGAGTGTTTCCTTTCATTGTACAAGCTCCAGAACCCATTAGCTAGGCCGACTCCTACACACACACACACTCTTACATACATACACATTCTTCATAGGAAAAGTTCATCTTACTCAGACATAACATATATGAACGGGAGTACATTCCCTCAATCTCTATATGTAGGTTTGTTGAGTGAAACTCAGCCACACAAACACACTCTGAGTCACAGGTACGCGGATCCTACTTGGCAGGGCCGCAGCACATTGTGCAGCCCTTTGGCTCTGCTCTGATAAACACTTCATTATGAAATCCTGAGGACACAGTAAATATTTGCAGAGGCCCTTATCAGCCTGCCTTATCTTGGCGTGAACTCCAGGCACCGCATGACTCCCGGGCCCTGTATTTTCTTACTGCCTAAGAGCAGCGCCACAGAAAGCTGCCGTTCTTTGAAAGCCTCCTAGAAACTCGCGCACCACGACAGCGGAGGCCAGTGCACGCCGGGGCTTTCGCCTCCGTCTAGACGTGAGCGAACGTGGCACTCTGATGAGAAGCCGGCGAGCCTGGATCGGTTTCTGAAGCTGGTGAATTGCAAAAGTTTACTAGCTCAGGTCACTGATAGAAGAAACACGTTTACAACTGCAGAGTTAATCAGTTATGGGCCGATGGCTGCTGCTGATACAATAATCTGTGACCTGAGAGCACGCCGATGTCACTCATACAGTTAAAGGGTAGCTATAGTGCTCATTTCAAACTCCATAGCTTGATTAATGGGCTATAATAGAGTTCTTAATGATCATACATTGGGCCTTAGTGTGTGTGTGTGTGTGGCAGAAAACGAGGAAAAGAATAAAAAGTCTCTGGAAAGTGCAACACAAGCACATTTATTTTTTTATTGAAGCAAGCCATGACTCGGGTAAAATCCTAGAGAACACTAAGGGTTAATGATTCACTCGTCATCCTCGCTGCTGCGCTCGCACTTGAGCATTTTCATTCCCCACAAAAAGATTTCCTCTCTAAACTTCTCACATGGTTTTATTTAAATAACTGCCCGAGGCTCTAAAAAACAAAAACTACGATTAAGATCCGCTCAACAAAGAAAAAAAACAACAACACAAACTTGTTGATTCGTCTTCTTCCTCTCTGCATTTTTTAATCAGAATTACGAGCCCCAAGATTTAACTTGTGACTCTGGACTACACTCCCAGAACTAAATATCAGACCAGTACTTTTATTTTTGATGTCTTAAAGGAGACCTATTCTGTAATCGCTGTAAATCAGCTCAGTTTTTACAGTGCTGGTCAAACCTTTTGTATGTGAAGGGCAGCCAATCAGGATAAAGCTGGCTTAAAGAACTGGGGAAACAGCTCATTGGCAGATAGTCGGCGATTAGAGCCTCGGCCCAAAGCCAGTATGAAGCAAGAAAGCTAGTCCCAGATTAAAAACAAGGAGCTGGAAGTGAGCAGGGTATCGTGCTTTAACTTTGTGTGGCACTTCTTCTGCAGTCTGAGGGTTGAGAGTGCCAGTCTATATCACGTATATCGACATAATAAAGATTGAAATCGTATCCTCCCACGGCCCAGTGCCTCTTAAGTTTTTCATTTTGAAAATTCATTACGCAACACCATCTCCAGTTTGTTCTGTACCCCTTTTCCATGTTTGCAGTGAACTTTCACAACCGTTGCAGAGAGCATATACACATCCGGAGGAAGGGGGGGGCATCTCAGCAGCACTTGGGTAAAACTAGCTGGTCAGCGCTTTGACCGTGTGTGACATCATCATACATTTACAAGAAGTCAGAGTCTGAAACTTTTTCAAAAGATGTTTTTTTTGTTTGTTTTTTTATTGGGAGAACTACAAAAAAATGTACAGTACAAAGTTAACAGTCTCACACTCAATTTGTAGTGAACTGACCCCCCCCCCCAAAGAAAAGAACACAACTCTCGGTTGTCTTTTTGTCCGTCTATTTTTTCTCCATTTTTTTTTTTCTGTGTGTTACATTCAAAAAGCTTTACTTCTGATAGAGTAGTCAAAAGTACATAGTGCGCATCCCCCTGTACCTACTATGTACAATCCAAATGTGTCCATCCAACTTCCCTCTCCAGCAAACTCAACACTAGATTTCAATATTTAAAAAAACCAAACAAAAACGAGGAATGGGGACTTTGAGAAAGTTTACAGTTGTGTTTTTTTTTCCTTTCTTTTTTTCCTGTCAGAGTGTCTGGAGTGGTAAGAACCTCTAGAAAAAACAAAAATCCAACACTACATTCAGTTCCATCTGGATTTATAAAAAGATGCAATGTAGGAAAAATACTTTATTTGGTTAATTTTAAGGCATGTCAAGATTATGAACCCCATAGGCACTACACAATAATACTGGGGCACAAGGGATTGCTACATTCTTTAGCACGTGGCTGGAATCACAGTGTGACCTCGTGCAAACAGAAAACGAAAAAGGAAAAAAAAATAAAAATACTTTTTGGTTAATTTATTGACTCGGATTCTTTGTCACTGAAGTCTGATCTAGATCAACGAAAAGAGGAACGAAGGTTTGGACGGTCTATGACAAACCATTGTTTATACATTCTACAGACACATCTAAATAAGGATCCTCAAAAAAGAAATAAAAAAAGAAAGCCTTCTACAGCTCTGACACACAACCTCAGGAGCAAACAGCAATCACGCAAACTTTTTTTAATAAACGTAAACAAGGAAACAAAATTAATGAAATAAATATCACATACGTTCTCTTAAATTAAGATTTTTTTTTTTACTCATTTACAATAAAAATAACCAAGTGAAGTTACAAAAAAGGAGAAAAAACAATATATATATTACTGTGAAAAGAACATACACTCCACTTTATGCAGATTAATAATGGCGATCATAATTTAAACATAAAAGAATATAGATCTATTGCTTCATCATACTTGATAAATACAGTATGGACACAAATTACCAATGTAGCCTATACTTTTTTTCACAAGATAATAAATAAGTTAAATAGTCCATAGCCAGTTATGCACCGCTATGTAAATCACTCAAAAAAAGAAGAGAAAAAAAAGAAACAGCTAAAAAAATATATATTCAACCATCAGCAGTGATTTCCCCAAACAAGCCCAACTCAAGAGTGCTTTTTAACCAAGCAACAAACTACACTAACCAAACGAACCACTGGGTGGCGCTGGGTGAGAGACAGATCTGGAATGGAAGTTGAAGCTTTCAGAGAGGAAAGAAGAAGAGGATGAAAAAAAATAATAATGTTACTTTAAGTCAAGGCATTTTCTTGGCAGGATGGGAGGAAATCTGAAACCGCTTACAGTCTCTTCTTCTTGTCAAGTCATGTTACACACACACACACGCACGCGCACACACACACACACACTTAATCCCAGGAAAAGTGTGGCTTGCCTGATAGAGCAACAATAAGGGAGAAGAGGGCTGCCATGAGCCCTTGGGCAAGGCACTGATGGAATGCCTTCTGTTTGCTATCTAAGTTTTATTACAGCTATATTACATATAAAGAAAAAAATACTAGACTAATGCCAGGTCAAGGACACTTTAAACTGAAGCTTTATTGATCTCTGCGGGTGAGACTCTCCTCTTGCCCCCCTCCAGCGAGGTCGGAGCAGGGTCAGCACCTTTAGAGCTGGTAGAGATTTTAAAAGTCTTGCACGAAGGCACTTCAGCAGGGATGGATGCTGCTGAAATGAGGGCAGTGGGGTGGGATCCTGGGATCCTCTGCTTTGAAGGACAGCCTCTCACTCACTGACAACCCACCTCCCCTGACTCGTCCATCATAATCCATATGAAAAAAAAATAAAGAAAAAAGAAAAGTGTGATTAGTCATCTGAAATCGACAGCCTGCTGAAGATTGGCAAACGTCTTCCAGCGTCCAGACTCGGGGACTCGGAGCCGCTGAGGCTCCCGGAAGAGCTGAGGGACCCGCTCGCATAGCTCTCCCGGTCAGAGAGCGAGTCTGGCGGGCTAGGAGGAGGATCGAACACCGGCGACTCGTTGAGGCGGCGCAACGCCTGCAAGTGGCTCATGTTGTAGGTCGGCGGGGAAGGTGGGCACACGCTGCTCTGCACGTTCCCGTAGTAGGCACCGGTGGAGTGGTTGTTGGCGTAGCTGCTGCTGGTGTGCACAGTCAGCGGGGCCAGTAAGGCTTTTAGGTCCTGTCCGGGGAAAGAGAAGGCACTGTTGATGCACGGCACGGAGTTCGGAGACAGAACGTCGTCGTTGTAGTAGCTGTGGGCGGAGGTGCAGGAGGAGGCTGAGGTGGGAGGCGGAGGGGTCCGGGACGTCGGGCTGTCGAGCAAGGGAGACTCCAGTCCGTGGTGGGTGGAGAAGCCGGAGAAGCTGAGACTGTGGTGAAGCTTTGGTCTGTCCCTCTGGGTGTAGCAGAGCTGCTGCTGCGGCGGCAGGACCTCTCTCTGGCCGTAGCCGCAGAGCTCGCGAGCCGATCTGGGCTCCACCGTCTGCACGTTAGCGTTGGCGGGCGGAGCGGGCCGGCGCTCGTCGGCGTTGTGGATAAAGTGACAGCGGGGACCGTACGGGCAGAAGCCGATGGTGTGGAAGGTGCGGCACGGCTCAGTTTTGTATTTAGGGTGGCGGGACAAGCTCCTCAGCTCGTGGTAGCCGTGAGCGAACTGACATTTTTCGCCGTACTTGCAGGAGCCGTTCTCCTCGAAGGGCCGACACAGCTCGGTCTTGTAGCGGGTGGAGTTGATCTGTGAGCCGGGCTTCTGCTGCAGCACGCCGCGCTCTCCGTTCTCGCTGTAAGCGCGGTCGCGAAACTTGTTCTCCTTGTTAATGAGGACCGTGGCGCTGCTGTTGCTGCTCGGCGTGTTCTCCTTGAGGCTGTCGTAGGTGCCCATGGAGAACTTGTTGCCGTTGTTCATCGCCTCCACGTTGCTGGTCGAGTTTCTGCGGTAAAATCCCGGCGTGAAGGCGCCGCCGGAGCCGGGAGCGCCAACCGGAGCTCCCACCGCCTTCTTGTCCAGCATGCTGTTGATGTGGAGGGCGTTCATGTTCATGCTTTTATCTTGCTGCTGGGAAGAAATGACACCAAGTTAGCGTCTCGGACAGTTAACTGCGTTACTGTTTTGAGCACATGGCATAAAGACTGCGCCTGCAGTATTTACAACTTGTTGCAGTCGAACATATGCAAACTGTGCACAAGTTAGTACGCCACTTCAAGCACAAAACTCATTCAGAACAAGAAAAGACTCTCAAAGCGTCAAACTTTACCTTATAAAGCATGTCCATGTCGTAGAAAGCTGACAAGACGGTCGCTGACATCTCTTTTCCCCAAACTTGCTGCCGCACTGCCTCTTTCATGGAGGACCGAGCAGGATCCTTGAATGCGTCGAGCAGTAGTTTGTGCCACGACTGTTTTTTGGTTGTGGAAAAAAAAATAAAACTTTTGAAAAGTTGCTTAAAAAGCTTCTGTGCAGGTTTAAGTCCGTGAAAGAAACAGGAGGGAGGGAAAGAGGGGGGTTAGGTTTGTGTTGTTGAGTTGTAGGTGGTTTTATTTCCTCCCCTTAAGAAGCGCTGAGCCAGAGTGCTTTGCTGGGAGCTCTAAGCCTTCGTATAAATGTTGCGTGGCCGGGGAGGGGCGAGCTCAAGTCGGCGCAAACTTTTTTCGAGGAGCCGCCTCCTCCCCGAGGAAAAAAAAAACTTCCATTCACCGGTTGGCCGTCTATTCTTTAACACCACGCCTTGAAAATGAAATACAACTCCAGCCCAACCCCCCCTACAACCACCACCCTCTCACGCCCCCGAAACTTTTTTTTAATTTTTTTTATTTAATTTTTTTTAAATCACACAATTTTGTGGAAGCTGGTTTTGCTTTTTGGGCTCGTTGAGAAAGAATGTGGTACTCTACTATGAATGCGTGCCAGCCTGCAGCGCATTAGCGAAGCTCGCTGTCGTAAATAGAGGGAGGTTTTAAGGCTCCTGAAGTCCTGGGATTTGAACCGACAGTCTTCTTTTCTTGTGCACTTAGAAGCTGACACATGTATTTGTAATGGAAGGAAATTCAGCCTCTCCCTGCTTCTCTGCCTGTGGATGGGGTGAGACCACAAGTATGAGCGCAGAAAAGACCAGTCAGAGTGCAGCACAATTTTTAGACTCCACTGGTTGCATAATCCACAGTATCCACTCTACACACACACACAGGTTCTATATGCCACCATGATCCACTTTAATCTTGTCACGACGAAACTTTTTTAAAAGGGTTGGCTTTCACCTTTGAAGCCGTCACTCCTAAAGCACAACGTGCAGAGTCATTACTGCAGTAAATAGATTTGTTTTGGTTCAGTCTTTTTAAAGCACTCCTCTAAGTTCCTCTAAAACTTGTTTTTCACCATCCTCCAACCTCAAGAAGGCCCAGACTGTGCAGGAATGTGGTTTTTGTGTGGAGCGACAGAGCAACACTGCCCCCTAGAGAGCAGCAGGGGGATCGGCGAAGGGGGAGGAGGACTGAGGCGCCACCTGCTGACCAGAGGTGGATAAGATTTTAGAGGTCCACCCAGGACAGTTAAACTGGAGCACTATCATACTTTTAACTGATTATTTTTTTAAATAAAAGCACAGCAATTCGTATTTCTGCACAAAGAGGTGAAAGTAAAGCTCCTGAAACGCAAAAAAAAAATCATTTTTAACATGTTTTTGTCATTTTAACAAAACCTCCCTGCCTAACAATAAAAAGTCCCTCGGTTGTAAAGTCAAAGAGTGCAGTGTGGTTGCAATAAGTCCCCCCATCCTTGCAAGGATGGCAAAATGTTCACATGAAAATGTCAAACTCCTCAAGTCTGCTCTCTGGAGTTATGACAAGATTAAAAAAAAAACCACAGTGGAAAGATTGCAGAGTTGGCAGCAGAGCACGGGAGCTCTATATCAGGCCTCCGAAAGGCAGATATTTCAGGCAGGAGGGTATTTTAAAAAAAAAGAAGGAAAAAAGCAACACATATCACCAGAAATGACTGGTTTCTGCAACACTGGTTTTCCATATATTATTATAATTGGAAGAGTGATTCTAAAAGTTTTCCTTCTGTGACATGATTCAGTGTACTGTTAAGGGCTGAATGGTTTGGTTAGAGATGGAAGAAGGGCAAAAAAAAAAAAAAAAGGGAAAATAGCAACAAGCGAAAAACAAGTGACATAAGAGCTTGGAATCTACTACTACCAACCCTAAAATTAGGCTGAGGGCTGCCCCAGGACTATTTGCAAAGTTGTGATAAATAGTTTAATGTGAAGGACAGACACAGCGAGGCTCCTGAGAAATCCCTCGAACACATCCTCGTCCCGCAGAAACCGCTCTCTCTTTGCACGGCTCTGTTTTTATTGGGGGATGTCGAGGCGCTCCAAAACATTACGTCAGTTTTACTGTAACTGGGAACATGGCTACCAGGGAGAGAGGGAGAGAGAAGGGTCCAGCTGAATGAGGGGGCAGCATGGATCCACACACACACACACTCAGGGAGGACAGTAGCGTATTGTGCCTGCCTCCTAATTACATAACCGGGAAAACTAGAGGGAAGAATAAAAACGCAGTCCAATGGGAAGAGTCCTGCAGTAAATTAAATATCACAGGAAAATAACACCTCGTATAAACACACAGGAGTCAAAAGCGTACGCTGAAATACAACTCTGGTGACGTGTCAGCGCCGACACAATCGCCGCACTCAAGCCCGAAAAGCTTCAAGGCGCCCGAGTTGTTTTGTTCCGAATTAAAATTCCCTGGTGGACATGGAGAGCGCGGGACGCACTGCGAGCTCAATGCTGACACTGTTGGAAGTTTGTCGTGTGACACATTCCCGCTGATAAGAGAACAGTGCGCCGAGTGTTGTTTTCGCACAAGCCCGGCTTGAATTATTGTTATGGCTCCACAATTGCCAGAAATCTGCACACATGTTCACAAAGTGTTGTTATTATCATCTGCAGCCTCTTTAAAACCATCGTAGCATTTAGAAACAAACAAAGAAAAAAAAAACAGGACATTATGTTTTATTTTTTCCATTTTAGCAGTTGGGAACATTGGATTTAAAAAGTACACTAATAACGGAACAGTAATCATGCACTTATGACGCTACTGGCAGTCAATGAGAGCAACATTTGTAAGACATGAAGTAAAAAACAAAAAACATCAGAGTTCCTTCATTCCCTCCACTTGATCATTAAAAGACTTCACCACAAAACCAGCCTGTGGTCTCCTGTGTCGGGCCATTAAAATCCATTTATGTGATAACTGAAATATTTGGAAGTCTTTTCCCATCGAAAATAAACAACTGGTGCAACTAAAACCGATCTCTTCTAGCTTCTCTGTCTCAGCCTGTCCAGCACCTCTAGAGCCAGAGCGGCCCTCTGCTGACGCAGCGTCAGCCGGGCGTGCTCGATGGTGCAGCAGAACTGAGGCAGAGCTGGGAGGGAGTCCAGGGCCTGCTGGGAGCTGAGGGCCTTGCTTTGGGCCAGAGTGTGGATTTGGTTAACCTGGTCCAGCCCAGCAGATCCCGGTTCCTGAGTGTCCTTGAAGGTTAGGATGAGGGAGCCAAGGTGTCTGTGAAGCAGCTTCACCCACTGGATGGGCTCAGCCCACAGGTTTAGATCCCCTTTCTCGAACAGGAAGTCGTCATCGTCCTGGTCAAAAGCAAAATGGAAGTCACTTTACTGGAAGGGAATTTAAAGAGTTTGCTTTCCCCCCCCCTCCCACACCTAGAGCTGGTTGTGTAATACCGATCCAGTTTCCACCAAATCATCAATGAAGTATCTCAATCTATAGCTGCTAAATGTTCCATCACCTTCACTAAATTCACAAAAATCACAACATCTATACTCACATATATGTATTTGTTTTTACTAAAAACAGTTCTGTGTTGTAAGTCAGCCTGTATCCACACAACTCTAGGCTTTTAAGAGCCCTAAAACAGAGACTTTTGTAAATGTTGTTGTACTTTAAAAGCTAGATTTTTGCTGACTTGTCACAATAACTCAAGATATGCTTTCTGCTGCCAGGAGAGACTAACTCTGAAGCTTTACTTTGAGAAAACAATCCCAGGCCTAAAACACTTGATAATAAATCTCCGTGGTTTAGTCACTATCATAAACTGTATATAGAAGACGGACACAGCTTCCAGGCCTGAAAAATGAAGTGCCCATCTGGAAGTGCTTCAGGCTCCTTAGGTTTCCAAAATAAGTCAGATTATACTGCAATTCATTGTAAAACAAACCTAATACTCGCCTGGTCTATGACCTCTCTTAAACATTTTCCTTATGAGTTTGTGGCCTCAAATGCTAGTTTTTGAAACTATTCATCCAGTTAGTTTCAAGAATCCTGTTCTTGTTGCCAGGCAATCAGTAAAAATCAGAATCAGAATCCTTTATTGATCCCTAAAGGAAATTATGTTGGTTACGGTGCTCCAGTACAAACAGTAACAAAAACAGACAGTACAAGTAGTAAGAAATAGCACTATATATATATATATACACACACGCACAACACACCCAGCACGCCCCTGTGGGCGGTTTATCCTTCAAGCTCGGGTCCTCTACTTGAGGGTCCTGCGCAGTATCTTAGCTGTTCCCAGGACTGTGCTCTTCTGGACACAGATCTCCGATGTTATTCCCGGGATCTGCTGGAGCCACTCGCCTAGCTTGGGAGTCACCGCACCTAGTGCTCCGATTACCACGGGGACCACCGTTACCTTCACCCTCCACATCCTCTCGAGCTCTTCTCTGAGCCCTTGGTATTTCTCCAGCTTCTCGTGTTCCTTCTTCCTGATATTCTGTCATTCGGAACCGCTACATCGATCACTACGGCCGTCTTCTTCTGTTTGTCTACCACCACTATGTCCGGTTGGTTAGCCACCACCATTTTGTCCGTCTGTATCTGGAAGTCCCGCAGGATCTATATATAATGTGTGTAAGTCACTTAATAATAAATATCTGAATAAAATAATTGGGGCGGAGGCTATCGCTCATGTTGCTAGGCCACATCATTGACGGTTCTTATGCTGTCATGTGACCAGTAATTTCAAGGTCAGAGCCGATGACGTCCAAAAGATTTTGGGACCTATAGTATTATATCCCATAATAGTTGGTAAGTCATAAATGTAACTGGACAGGATTTTTAAGACTGATACTGACGCAGATATTTTGTGATTTGAAAATCTGCTTCTTTGTTGTTTTAGGGCTGTCAGCGTTAATCTTGCGTGGGGCAGCACGGCGCTAACGTGTTAGCGCAATTAGCTCGCATGGGCAATCCGCGCTAACTCGCTAACGGAGATTTGCCGCGTTAATGCGGTTATGGCGTTAATGCCATTTTAACGAGATTAATGCTGAAAGCACCAGTTTCTTTTAGTCTTATGAAACAAACAGATTCCATTTGTTTAGCGTAGCTATTTAAGTGTCTATTTAAGTGACTGTTGTTGTGATTTGGCGATACTGCTTGGATCACCTGGTTGTTGTGTTTGTGGGGTTCCAAACAGATGTGTTGCCAATAGACTGCGCCTCTGCTCGACAAACCATGCAACGTCAAAACTCCATAATTAGCATTTCTAATTCCATTTAATGGCCATTATAAATGCAGATGCCAAAAGACTAGCAAGTAGCTAACAGATCGCTAATACGTCAATTGTGCTCTTTTAAGGTCACTCCAGGGCTCGTTGTGGTCCCAGCTGGAGTCAAATAAACGATATGATACAAATAAAGGATACCTTTTACGGTGGGCCTTTATTTAAGCTGACAAGTTGCTGCGATATGGTATCTACCTTGGTTTCTCACTCACATTCCACCCCCAGATTCTCATATCTGGTTTCAAAACATCGAGATGGCCACAGTTAAAACACTCAGTTTGAGGCTTCGGGAGAAGAGTTCATGAACTAACTGGTGGTGGCCCAGTCCATCTTTTATATACAGTCTATGGTTAGTGCGAGTAACAGCGTTCACATTAAACAGATTTATATGACTCAGTACCAAAAACTGGCAGCTCTAAGAACACACAATACTTTGGGTTGTGTTTATCTAATCAACCAAAGCTCAAAAATACACGAGCAACTAAACAGATGGCTAAACCAAATGTGGGTACAGAGCAGAAACCTTGGTTACTTAAAGAACTCAAATATATTGACTTCTTGTGAGAGCAGAACATGACAGCAAGAGCAAATTGTTCCTGATATTTCACACTTCACAGACACCACATTAACATGAATCAAACTGTGACTTTAGGTCAGTGTGTTAATATAGAACCTAATATATCCCCTACACAGCAGTGTCAGCAATTTCTTTCACCCTAACACTTCACAAACAATCCTTGTGCAGCCATAGAAAGTGCAACCTTGAGACGCATCCGTTTACCTAATGAAAATCATTGCTAGCATATGTAGTCTACTGTCTAGCAAACACTTCCCACTGTTTTTTCGAACTGGTCGTGATGTTCTTTTACCACAGTGTTACAGTTCAAGTTGTCCATATGCATCTGCACTCAGGTCACAATGACAAATAAATGAAAATCATGTAAAATAAGAGTTGAGTGAACGACACTCACCAGACTAGAAGCTTCATTTACAGCTGCATCCTGGCTGTGCTCATCCTCCCCCAGCAGCCACTGTGTCAGAGCAAGGATGCCGGCTTGTACCTCCCCCCACATCTCGAACAGCCGACACAGGAGCCCGACGCCTGAATCCAGGGCCGCAGGCGGACACGTGAACACACCTGCCATGTCTGAGCACAGAAGAGAACAAACATTTAAAATATATGCACACACTGCTTTACATATAAAACACATTTTATACAATCAAGCTCAAAAGGAGGCACAAGGTTACAGTTGGAACCAGGGAGGGATTTTACAAACTGAAATGGTAAGCAAGATGTGTGTGGTGCCAACAAGAAACGTTAAAACTAATGATTTACTACAAATGACATTGAAGCATTCAAATGTAAATAATCTCTAAGCTAATAAACACTTTGATAATGTAGAACTTGGATGTAAAAATCACCTGCAAGGCTATAATACACACCTTTGTGCAAAAGTATATATTTTGTTATCAAACGAGGAAATAGATACAGAAACATCGAAGCATGTGCAGACATACATGATATATATTATAGTTACAATGACCTTCAAAGTCGATATCTGGTATGAACACCTTTATTTTCCAACATAGTCTGAACTCTCTTGTAGGGCCGTGGTTTAATTCATTTGTTAAACACTTTTTAGACTAAACGTGTTTTAGACTAAACATGTCATCGTATTAGAAAACTAACACTCTTTTTTGCCAATCAGCTAATTTAGCTACACAAGAAAGGTGATAATACTCTCAGTAGGAAAGAATTTAATGTTACTTTTATTACAGAGTAGCGTCAGGGTCACTGGCAGATGTGTTATGCTAATGGCATTAAAACAGACGGTGCATGTCCTCAGACGACCTCTTTTTAAATACTATATTAGCAGGCCAACGTTTTTTTGTCAGAATGCTACTTAAAGTTACTTAACACAATATATGACAGCTGCTACATTTAAATATTTCATAATACCTAGTTTGTCTGTAAGAATTTACTATTTGCATTTAGGGCACATGGTTAATTATGCTAATGCTACGCTACTGAGGAGCTGGTGCATGTCTTTTAATTAAACATATCAAATCTAAACAGGTTATATCAGCAATCATGTTAGATTATGTTTATGTGCCCATGAGCTAAATTAGCTACACACCGTCTATGCACAGTTATTAAACATAAATTAGTGCTAAATATTTTATTACAAATTTACAAAATGTTGAACTAACCAGCTGGTACAAGTTGCTGTACTACCACATTTCAATCTGATATTCTTGTAACATGTGACAATCACTAATTGTAAATGTATAAAAGTATTTATTGATGCATAATGTTCCGACTAGACATTTAAAGCTAATTCTTCTGTGTTACCAGTGACTCACGTTAATTGGCTGAAAAATGAGACGCTTTGAGTACCTCAACTGAAATCTTAGTCAAGTCGGTGCGTTTAAGCAGATGTATTAAAACTCCTGACAGGGAAAAGAGAAACCTGGTGTTCCCTATCAGGATAAGGGTTAAAAAAAATATGGTGGACACACCTAGATTACTACAAGCACGTACGGATTATAGTATGTTTCTACGACACAGCAGCCCACAGACTGAGCCCATCGAGTGTCATGAAAGGAAAAACCATTACATGTAGTGGTGTGTCACTGAATCCAAAATAATTGAAACTTGAGCTGAAATTAAAAAAAAAAAAAAAAAAAA